ATCTATCCATTTTGAATATGCGTCCACGACCACCAAGAAGGTCTTGCCGTGCATTGGCCCGGCCAGGTCGATGTGAAGCCGTGACCACGGGGCATTGGCACTTTCCCACTTTGTGGGTGTGGCGGTTGGCGGGGCTGCTCTAGATTCCTGACAGGGTCGACACGAGCTTACCCACTTGGCGATCTGATCGTCCATCCCGGGCCACCAGACGTAACTTCGAGCTAACGCCTTCATCCGCACGATTCCTGGATGGCCCTCGTGCAGCATCTTCAGGACGGGTATGCGAAGGGTGGTTGGTATGACCACTCTGGTACCCCACAATAGGCATCCCTGCAACTTAGAGAGCTCTAGCTGGCGAGTTTTAAATGGGGCGAAATCAACTGAATAGTTAGTTTCCGGCCACCCCCTCCCTACCCAGTCCAGAACCTGGGCGATTGTTCTGTCCTTCTTGGAATGTGACGCGATGTCGTCTGCAGTCACCGGCAGCTTGAGTTCGTTTACATCAAAAATGGCACGCACAGGAGCTGGGTCCTCGACTGGGGCTGGCAAGGGGCAGCGGCTGAGGGCATCAGCGTGGTTTAGATTTTTTCCGGGACGATAGACCAGTTTGTACGAGTAAGCCACCAGGAATAAGGTCCATCTGGTCATTCTAGGCGACAGTATCTGTGGGGTTTGCTTTTCCCCTGATAATAATCCTAAAAGCAGCTTGTGATCAGTAATAAGTTCGAATTGGTGTCCGAATAGAAATTCGTGGAATTTTTTGACTGCTGCTACTGCAGCCAAGGCCTCCTTATCAACCTGGCTGTAATTACGCTCAGTCGCTGAGAGGGTTCTTGAAAAGAAGGCAATTGGTGCCTCAGAGCCATTGGGGAGCCTGTGACTTAAGACAGCTCCTATCCCAAAAGGGGATGCGTCTGCGGCTAGGATCAAAGGAAGGCGTTGGTCAAATTGTATTAAGACAGCCTCAGAGGTGAGTAGAGATTTGACTGCCACAAATGCTTGGTTTTCTTTGGGTCCCCAGTGCCATGGTGTGTTTCTGTCTAAGAGTCTGTGCAATGGCTCAGCAACTGACGCCTTGTGTGGGAGAAATGAAGCGTAGAAGTTCAATAACCCCAGGAAGGCTTGTAACTCGGTTTTGTTGGTAGGCGTGGGCGCCTCGTGGATGGCCTTGACTTTCGATTCCACCGGGTGGATGCCTGAGGCGTCTAGCCTGTAGCCTAGAAAGTCCACCTGTCTAGTGGCGATGGTACACTTCTCCCGTTTTAGTTTGAGGCCATGCTGCCTGAACTTCTCTAATACTGCCCTGACTCTCTGGATGAGTTGGGGTCTGTCCCTGGCTGTGACTAAGATGTCATCGAAATATGGCACTACGCCGGGGAGACCTTGGAGGATTCGCTCCATCAGTGATTGGAAAATACCTGGGGCTACACTTACGCCAAACTGGAGACGCTTACATCTGAATGCCCCTCTGTGTGTAACTATGGTCTGTAAGTCAGCTGTTTGGTTATCCACGGGGAACTGTTGGTACGCCTGTGACATGTCCAGTTTGGCGAAAATGGTGCCAGGTTCGAATGTGTGTAACAGGTGCTGAATGACTGGGACTGGATATGCGCTAACCTGTAGATAACGGTTGATTGACGTCTTGTAGTCAGCACAAATTCTTAGATTACCGTCTTTTTTTAGCGGGGTGACTATGGGGGTCTCCCACTTAGCGAAATCTGTGGGTTCTATCACCCCTTGTTTTAGTAGTTTGTCTAGTTCCGCGTCCAATTTGGGGCGGATGGCGAAAGGTACTCTACGTGGTTTTAAGCGAACGGGGACTGCCTGTGGGTCTACTGAGAAGGAGATGGGAGTGCCCTTATAGCAGCCTAACTCACTACTAAAAACGTCAGAGTAGTCTGTAAATAAGGAGTCAACATCAGAAGTTGAGACAGCATGGACTCCTTTTATACTAAGGCCGAGAGAGGGGAACCAATCCAACCCCAAAAGACTAGGGAGGGCACCATTAACAACCACTAAAGGCAAATGGCCTTTAAAGGTTTGGAATTTCACGAGAAACTTGCCTTTCCCGAGGACGGGGATGTTCTTTCCTTGGTAGTCTCTCAAGGTGAGATGGCACTTTTGCAGCTGGTTCTTTGTCAGTCTGGGCTGGATCTTCTTAAGCGTGTCCCAAGATATGATTGAGAGCGCTGACCCCGTGTCTACCTCCATGCGGCAGGGATTACCTTCTAGTAAGACAGAAAGTGTAATTTTATTGGGGGTGTAAAGTGTGTGGTTGGCTTGGTAGCAAGTATGGCATTTTTCTACCTTCGGGGAACAGGAGAGGAAGGGGATCTTTGTGGAGAGGTGCGCGCTGCCTGGCAGACTCTTGCGAGGTGACCTTTCTTGTGGCAGTTGTGGCAGGTGGCGTTTCTGAACCTGCAAGATGCCCGGGAATGGGAACCTCCACAGGTCAGGCATAAAAGAGTTTGTTTTGGGCCACTGTTGTTTCTTGGCCTCGCTCCAACCTGCGGCTGTCTCGTTGGTTTGAGGCGATGCACATCGGAGTATTCTGCAGGGTCATCCTCACTTACCGCTTCTTCAGAGTGTACGGAGGAAGTGCTGGGTCTGGGAGCAGTGCCCTGGATCTCAGCTGCGGACTGTGCTGCAAGTTCTGCAGCTAAGGCTTCTTCAACTGCCTGGGGGAGGTTTAGGTCTCTTCTAGCCAGCAAACGCCTCTGGAGTTTTAGATCCCTCACCCCACAGACGAGTTGGTCGAGCAGCATGTCGTCCAAATAGTTCTTGAACTCACATTGTAGAGCTGCTGTCCTCAGGGCTGCCATATATTGATTTATGGATTCCCCCTCGGCTTGCTTCCTCATCCTAAAAGCGAAGCGCCTAGCAATCTGAGACGGTTTTGGTGAGTAGTGGTTGGATAGCGTTTCCACCAACTCTGCCCATGGGACATTCCCGATTTCTCGTGGGGCCAGGAGTGCTGTGGCGGTGTCGTATACTACAGCCCCACAGTAGCTGAGGAAGTAGGATTTCTTCCTCTGCTCCGAAACTTCAGCCAGCCCAATGGCATCGATAAAGTGGTTGAAGCGATTCTTATACGAATCCCACTTTTCCTCATCAGGTTTGAACGGGGGGAATACTGAATTGACATTCATTTTGGACCCCTCAGTCTCTTGGTAGACTGGTCTGCCTCACTGGGTGCTCGTGGTCTTGGATTGATGCTGCTTGAGGGCGTTGGCGGCTGTGGCTACAGTGCCCTAGTCTCACTCAATGACTTCGGCTTTCCTGAGGCGCTTGAATTTTCACGCTCTTTTGCGAGCGTTAGGCGGCTGTGGCTGCGGTGCTGTACTGACAGCGCTTTAAAATTCGAGCCTTTATTATTATTATTATTATTATTATTATTATTATTATTATTATTATTATTTTGGCGAGGCGGCTGAGGCGCTCGCAATTTCACTTGGTGGCTTCTGTAGTGACCTCTATTGTAATTTGCGCCCTTTTTGTAATCGAGGCGGCTGAGGCTCTCAGCGCCGTAGCTTGCTCTAGTGGCTGCAGCTCAATGACAGCCGTTAGAATTTTCGCGCCCTTTTTCTGCGTGCGCGGGCGGCTGCGGCTTCAGCGCCCGACTCTCACTATCTGTGGTGCTCTAACCTTTGCAACTTTTACTGACAGCACCCAGCCTTCGCTAACCGCGGCAGATCTAACCTGAGCGGCTCTAGCACTTTCACTTCTGAGCCCGATGCTTGGTAATCCCAGCGGCTGCGGCTGGCTCGGTAAACCAAATGGCTGCGGCTTCCGTTCCTTGAGGAAATGCTCCTGACTAGCCTTCCGATCCCACCTTCGTCGCCAGTGTTGTATTTCGAAGGAAAGGAGAGGCTAGACCAGGGCATACGGTTAACAATGTTTATTTGATGAACGGTGGTTGTCGCGTCTGCCGGTGAACGGGCAGAATAGCGTGCGAACAACGGCTGGCTTGGCTTGACAGCCGGCTTTTTATAGCCGGCTGTCAAACGGCGCCAGCCAATAGGAACGGTTGTTGAATCTGCTTAAAGAGCGGACCCGGTTGGAGCCCCAACCGGTTCCCAAGACATAACAGTTAACTCAATTGTTATGAGGGAAGAACTAGAGCAGAATGGCTGGTTGGGGATTTCTAGGACTTGTAAGTCTTAAAGATGCCAAGACTGGACACCCCTGAACTAAAGTTCCCTGGGAGGGAAGAGAAAACAATTTTATCAATACAGTAGCAATCATCTAATTTAGAGGCTGAAATTTTTTTTGATCTCCCGAAAATACAAGCAGCTGAAGATTCAGAAATTGATGACAGTTTCTGAATCTTGAATAATGGCAGATGGCATGATGTGGAAATGCTGGAGGCTTGAGTAGAAAAATTGTCATTTAAGTGAAACAATGCTATATGTCTGCGTTCACTCTATGTATTGTCCTGTTACATCCTAGTTGCTCAGCTTATCTCTTCACTGAAAATTTTTTAAGCTGATGTATTAGCTTCCCTGGACTATTGAATTTTTGGCTGTAACTTAGACTGTTTTTGATATTCACCTCCCCTGAGAGACTGGGTCACTTGCAGCAGAATAAACCAAGCTTCATGTAGTAAAGATTCAGCCTTGTCCACATAAAAAATGGATCAATCAGTAACCAGTTTAATCCACTGTTTTCTCAGGCCCTTTGGGAAGGCCACAAACGGTATTTATTTGCAGTTTGATCTTGATATTCAACTGGACTATAAACCACTATGGTAAATAGTGGTTGTTAGACTTCCTCTTTTATTTTCATTTTCCACATGAAGTGCAAGTTGTTTTTGACATTACAAATTGTACATTTTTCTATTTTCAGTGCATGAAATTGTGGTCTGCATATTTATTTTATTTCTTAGATTTATATTCCACTCTTCTCTAGAAGTCAAATCCACATACACAATAATACACAGTATTATGAAAATGTATTAATTGTATGAAATAACATTGCATACCTTTACTTATTCCTTCTAGTATTTACATGCCAATGGAATTGTTCACCGGGATTTGAAACCAGAAAATTTATTGTATGCAACTCCAGCTCCAGATGCACCTTTAAAAATAGGTAATTGATAATTGGTATCTTTTAATAGCATCCTTAGGAAGTTGGTACTAAAGGGTACTGGGGGACCTCAGAATTGGCAGAGACCATAACCATATTTAGGGTGCACAATAAATTAAGCTAGAAACTATTGCTATGGCAGATAAATTGCACAAAATAAATTTCTGGAATAAAAAGGAGTGAGTGACAGAGTAGGGGCAATACATGAGTTAGAAACAGTCACTTTGTTCATATTGCAGTCTTGTACAATTCCCAAAGAATGAAGCAAGTTAAAAATAACTATGATGAAGGACAAAACTGCTGTTATCCTAAATCAACCAGTGCTTGTTCCTAATTAGGCAGCGGAAGATGATATATGTAAGCAGCTTGACAAAAGACCTTGTTTGGATCACAATTTTACCTTCTCCAAGAGAACACCTATGCCCACAGATCAATAAAACTTTAAAACATCCTTCAGTTTTAGGTTTATGGCATTTAGAAGAAAGTTTTTCTATAATACTTGCTCTATTCTTTCATGCTGAAAAGGATTAATTTCTTTTTGTCATGTTTTTATTCTGTCCCGATTATGCAGAAGCATTCCAGAGCCAGTCTCATTCACAGACTTCTGCATGCAGCCGTAATTCTTTGAAATTTGAAAATAATTATTCTCATCTCCTCTAAATTTATACAATAATACAATAATAGTTTTCCCCCTGTATTTCAGTGCATTCTGTTTTACAGATAGAACATTATTCAATTATGATGATGTGTGTTTAAAAGACATGCAATTAGGAAGAAAAAGAACAATCATATAACCTGTTTTCATTACTTTGCCACATTAAGCTGAAGGTCACATTTTCCAATCTATACAGGCTTCCTACCTGATTTAGAACATTGATTTGATGTGTCTAATTCAACAATTATTTCATAAGAAATATAATTTTCTGATTTCTGCATAACAGCTGATTTTGGACTTTCCAAGATAGTTGCAGATCATGTTACCATGAAAACAGTCTGTGGAACTCCAGGATATTGCGGTATGTTTCGGAATGTATCTTATTTTAGATCTGTTTTTATTTGTGTTCTGTTTTAACATTCTATGTTTTCTAAATTTAGCAATTATCACACTAAAAACAACCCAGTTCACATTAAAATATGTACAGCTATATTGTATTCACTTATTCAAAATATAATTTATCTGCTCAAGTCATATACTAACTATAACCATACATGGTTAGCAATAGTATGCTCATCCCAAAGCTGCATTTTTGCTTCTAGAGAATACCACCCAGATGGAAGCATGAAGTTTCTGGTTAAATGTAACAGTTTGTAATATAATAAAATCTCTATTTCATAGACTTCAGTTTAGTGGATTTCATATGCAACATTTAGATTTTTATATCAGACTTTAATAGTGTGGATAATTGTTGTACTTTATTCCATTTGCACAGTATAACTCACATTTTATGTATTTTGCATAAATTTCTACTACATGCACAACATTCACTTGTTTATGAAAATAACAAATGAGGTGAATATACTTCTTGGTATTAAAAAGAAATCTTACCAGGTTTGTTTCCAGGCATATAGAACACAAGCAGTTGCTTGAATCAAAGGTGAAGTTTATTGAAAGGACCTACAGTAATTCACAAAAATAACTGTTGGAGGCAGCCATGGTTAGATATTTCTCAAATGCCCCATATATAGGGAAATTTTAACTTTTTTCTTTGAAAACATGGAAAAGTACACCCTGTAGGAATTCTAAGAAAATGTATTTAGCTAGCTGAGAACAGGTCCTTTTGCAATCAGGCATCCTGTTGAGTTGTGGGTTCTGCTTATTTAGCATTTATCAATTAAAAATAGTAATCTCTTTCGGGCAGGGACCTTTTTTCTTAGTTGATCAAAGAGATTTAAGTTTCGGACTGGGAACAATGTTCACCCAATTATAGTTTCAGACAAGAAGTGTTCACCCAATTACATTGGCATTTTGCATTTTGATCTTTGTCTAGAGCCTATTCTGATTTATGATTTTGAACCTTTTATCTTTGATAACAGCAGGAAGACTCTATAGTGGGAGGACTTTGACTGCCTTTCCACACTGGCTATCTGACAACACAGACATTCCTAAAAGACATACACCTTCTCAAGCACACTTGCAGGTTTAGAATCACCTCCTCCAGGGGCAGATCTTGTTTATCATGTTGAGATAGATTTTTCTCCACCTCACTTTCTCTGGGAGATAAAATTCCTTTAAAAATGTCTTAGAAGTTACCATATGGCGGCTGGAAAAAAATGGAGTATGCCATCTCCACAAACAACCTCTGATACACAGCTGGAATCTTCAGGAATCCAAAAAAAAGTCTAAATAATTTGAGAAGCTATGTAGAAAGAACATCCATCAATTGATTACAGGGAAAAAATATGTCTTCTGACTGAAGCTCATTCCCCGCCCCCCAATAATATTTAAATAATTGCAGTATTCATTAAAAGCACAACACAAAAAAAGATACAGATAAAAGTTTAAGCATACCTCTTGAAAAAGAAAATCTCTTAAGCTATGTTGAATATTTTAGGAAATCCCATGTTTCCTGTGAAGATCAAAGAAATAGGTTGTTAAATAAAAAATTATGCCCATATTATTCAGAATCAAACTAGCCAACATTCTCAAAAGTATTTTGAGTAGTAACTTATAATTAGTTTTTATTGTTTTAATTTTAGAACTGTTTTGGAAAAGTATCATTCCAAAATCTCTTTCTTGCAGCTTAGTTGCTAAGCACATTTGAAAGCTTTTAACTAGTACTAAAAATTACTTGCATTTCATAAAAAATATTTTACTTTTGCCTTCTTAAGTTCTATTTTATTTAAATACACTTATAATTTTTGTCATGTTGAATTTGTAGAATTATGCTTTTTTTCTTCATGAGTTTAGACCATATATTTGATGGCTGTTATCTTGTTTTACTAACAAGGTTTTTATCATTTGCAGCACCAGAAATTCTACGAGGGTGTGCTTATGGCTCAGAAGTGGACATGTGGTCCATAGGAATAATCACCTATATCCTGTAAGTTTAGAAGACATTAATATGGAACAGGTGGTTATTTCATTATTTTCTATAATCAGCATTTATTTACTGTGTCAACAGGAACTAAATCAATAATTTGCCTTGCTCTGTTTTTAATCATTTGAAGCTTGAAGGTCCAACAATTATTCAAAAGCAAAAAATCAGGTTTTAAATTATGCATTAGTTTCAATTCGTTAAATTATGAATCTTGGGGCATTGTTTTCCTTTATCTTTATGGTAGCTTATAGTTGCATTTGAGACAATGATTCTCCCTACACTGAGATACATGAATGAGTTTAGATTTAAATCTAGGTTGAAGTCCAGGGCACATCACCTCTGCTTCTTAAGAACTCTTCATAAAGCAAAATATTTCCCCTCCCCTCCGCATCACCACTCCAAAATGGGTATAAGAAAAAGACATGAAAATTTAAATTTGATTACCTAGTGTGTAACAGTATGAAAAAAAGTCCCAAGATGGAGAATATGGGCTGAGTGGAAAGCCATTATTAGAATATATTGATATGAAATTGAATTTAAATCCCATCACCATGCTTTGAAAATATAAAAGACACACATACCAATGTTTTGCTTTCTAAAAACTTTCTTGCTTCTTCTACACCTTGCTTCTTCCTTTAAAAATGGCCATTGGTAATCATTTTTAGAATGAACTGAGGAGAAGAAGGCCATGATACATTGCTCAGTTAAGCAGGAGAGATAGAATAAGAACTCTAGTGGTGTGGGTATAAGTCTAAGTAGATGAGTGTTATACAGTAAATAAGCATCTTGTGGCCTTCTTTTTCATGAGCCTTTCCATGAAGAAAAGTCTTCTCAAATTCTTCTTCAAGACCTACAACCATCAACTTGCAGCTGATTACCAAGCAAGAAAAGGGCTTTTTCAAGAAGTTCTAAGCTGAAATATTATTATTTTTTCTGGAAGGTTTCCCTGGCCTCATGTTTTGTCAGTGTTCTGTCTTTATTTTTATTTTACATACACATATACATATCGACTTTTTCTCTTATCATATGTATGTATGTATGTACATATGCATATGGCAAAGAAAAGAAAGGAAGTAATGTCAAATTCTGAAAACTGCAAGAGTAAAAATTGCCATTTAAATTAATTTAGCTCTAAATACAGGAAACCAACCAATATGTGTACAGCTAGCAAATATGTGTACAGCCATTAATGTATTTTACCTATTTATTGAATGATAGGTGGTGCCTTGCAGATTTTCAGCTGACAATATAAACAGATTTTTTAAAATCTAAATTCCCTTAAAATATAATTTACTATTCCAATATATTTTTTGTAAATATTAATACAAAATCAAGCGTCCACCACCTCTGTGCATGTGATTGCTTTCCTAGATGAAGACTTTGCATTATTATTTTTATATAAACATGGACAAAGACCACATTAAATTGCAATTTTTATTTTCAGATCATTTTTCATACCCATCAACATAATTTTGAAGCTTGCTTCTGCCTTTTAAGGCATTACTTATCCCATTCAAATTTGTGTCATGTGTATTTAATAAAAAACATTGATACAAAGCCCTGAATGTACCCTACTCAATCCAGTTTCTTGAAGAATCATTGATGAGCCCTCTTTGAGTTCAATTTTTAAACTAGCTATTTATTTAATAATAATGCCATTCAACCTACATGCTATGGAAAAATTATCAAACGTTTTGCTGAAATCAAGATGTATTACGTCTGCATTCCCACATTCTGCTAAGAATATATCCCAATCAAAATGAAATAAAGTAACCAGTGCAAGTGTTATTCTTGGAAAATCCACCTGACTCCAAATTAATATTGCATTGTTTTCAAAAAATTTTCCAAATTAACTTGCAATCTTCTCTAGAACGTTCAAAAGTAACAATATCAGACTAGCTAGTTTACGGTTTTCTAAACCAACCTTCCTTCCTTCCTTCCTTTGTCCTCTTCCAGTCATCAACATTTCAAGTGTTTTCTTTGAGCAACTTGTTTAGCCCAGATAACTTAAATTTATTCAGATTAAAGAAATATTCCCTAATCGTGTTTATATGATAAATGATTGTTTAATTTGAATCAGCAGCTCATTTTCTTTTTTTAAGAAATCTTCACCAATCTCAGTTCAACTTTCCTGAAACCATCCACCGCTTGTTCTGTGTACTACTGCACAATTGTCTTTCCTTGTTCCTATCTTCTATACTGTATGTCGCCCTTTTTTGTTTTCAAACTTTCATCTTATTTAGCAACAATGGCTGTTTTATTGCTCTCCATATTTTTTCTCAATAAAAAAATAGTTGTAATTATGCGGCTAGTATCTTCTTTTTTAGGAAAGTACCCATCTTAAGTTGCTTTTCCCATTAGTTTTTTTTCTGCTCTGGTGTTATTATGCTAACTTTAATAACTTCTACTTTTTTGAAATCTATGTTCAGTGAAGTTGATTTTTTCTTAAAATCATGAATTTTACTCTTGTGCAGCAAATAGAGCAAATCAGGATCTTCAGTGGCTGTTTGTGAATAAAAGTGTTAATGCATTCCATTTTTTCATATAAAATTTATGCTTTTACAACCATACATTTCTGAAAGTATATATATTTATATTATATTTATATTATATTTTAATTCCATCTAAAGCCCAGTATGTGATTTTTAAAATACATATATACTCTATTATAGAAGTCTATTGACTTCTACAATTGCTGACTGTTCATACTGAAGAAATCTATTAACATGTCTGTATCACAATGTATTATTTTTAATCTCCAAGATACTTCAGTATTTGCATACTCATTTTCTGGGCAAAAATACAGTTTTTAATAAGGAAGCTAAGCTATATCATTCTATCTCATCAAATTTCTCTCTCATTTGCATGTAGACTTTGTGGCTTTGAACCATTCTATGATGAAAGAGGAGATCAGTATATGTTCAAGAGGATTCTCAACTGTGAATATGATTTTGTTTCTCCTTGGTGGGATGATGTATCTCTGAACGCCAAGGATTTGGTAAGTTCAGTAAATTTTTATAACATTCGAGTGGTGAAGTCACCTGCCTTTCAATTCCTTTTAATATTGGTGTAATTGAACATATAGCATTTACTTTATACTCTCTACTTGGTAAGGGAAGGAGGCACAAACCACTTCACAGCTAAGCAAAGTTTGTAACCATTCTAGTAAATAACTAAGAGTAAAAAAAAATTCTTCTCTGCCTCTTGGCTTTTCAATAAGACTTTTATTCATACAGAGAATTTACAGAATATTACTGGGAAAAAAGGCTGCGTGATTTTTACTTTCAGTTAGAGCACTCCTATATTTGCCCACTATTTTTTCTGCCATTGATTAATGAGGGAAAGATGGACAAATGGCCAAACAGCTGTCTAGTCTACATAATTTCCCTTCTATTGCTTGCCTCGGGTAGGATTTTAAAAGAAGTCTTGAAAGAGGGCAAAGGAACAAGCAGCTCTGTCCTGATTTCTTCATCATGCTTGAATTTCAGAGCATGCACTGATAGCTTTGGTATTTTGAATATCTGTATTGCAAAATGCCATCCATTATTATGATTATAAATTAGTAGCCATAATGCATACAGAAACATAAAGGGTAGGTGTATAATATCTGCAGTGGAAAAAAGGGATCTCATATATGGTTTCATTTTTTCAGCACTGACAACTTTGAGGTTTTTAAAATAACATCATAATATTTTGATTTGCCACTCCATCCCAATTACCTCTGATGGGGAAGGAAGTTGAAAGTTTAAATTCTGCTTCAGCTTTTCCAGTTTATTGCAGCTAGAACTAACAGCTCGGTCATTTGTCAGAAAGATATTGAAGCATGAGATCTGCTGGATACATCAGTCCTTAGATTAGAACCTATGGAAACAATAAATACTCAAGGAATTGAATATTTTTTGTTAACCTTATATTTTCCATGTTATGCAGGTTAGGAAGCTAATTGTTCTTGACCCTAAAAAACGCCTTACCACTTTCCAAGCTTTACAGCATCCTTGGGTCACAGGAAAGGCAGCCAATTTTATTCATATGGATACAGCTCAAAAGAAACTCCAAGAATTCAATGCTCGACGTAAACTGAAGGTATATATCTGAAGGGGGGGGGGGAGGTTTTAAATAGGTTTTTTTTTAATGACATGCACTGAAAGTTTTTATTTTTGTAAACATGTTATAATATTGACAGCAACATATGCATATTCCAGAAACGGAAACTCCCCATTTACATTGAAATGAATCCAACATTAACCATACTTGGATAAAAGGTTCTGGCTGCGGAAGGCTTCTAAATTATTAGGATATTTCTGCTATTGTAATGGATGTTGAATCCTGTATAGGGAATATCAGTATAGCTGCTGCCAGCTTGTTCACATGATACTTATTCATGTTTAATGTCAAATGTGCCATAGCTAATAGCTTGCATATATTCACTGACTTTGTGTCGTTGAGTGAAATGTGTTTACAATCCTGACTTATAATAAGTTCAGTGTTTAAATTCATGCCATAAACCAATAGCAACAGCACTTAGATTTACGTATATACTGCTTCATAGTGCTTTATAGCCCTCTCTAAGTGTTTTATAGAGTCAGCATATTGCCTTCAACAACCTGGGTCCTTGTTTTTATCGACCTCGAAAGGATGGAAGGCTAAGTCAACTTTGAGCCAGTGAGAATTGAACTGATGGCAGTTGGCAGAATTAGGCTGCAGTACTGCATTCTAACCACTGTGTGACCACAGTTCATAGCATGTAGCTATTATCATAAACCAGAAAATATATTCATGCTTTGTGATACCTCATATTGATTTTTTTTAATGGCTAAAAATATCATCTAGTGTTTGGATAATAGTTTTACAAGTGTAAGTGTAAACCAGCCACAGATGGCTAGTTTGAAAATTGCTCTGGGCATTTGCAGTAGTGTCTGTGGGGATGCACAGAGCATTTGCATTAATGCATGTGCTAGTTTGCCAAATATGTTATAGTTAAATGTGAATGCAAATGAGTTCAATGTTTGACAATAGATCTTTTTTAAAAAGCAGTGTTTTTTTCTAGAAACATTTTTAGCATGTTTCTGTCATCTTGGCTATCTTCTAGAAAATTACTGAGTAGTAAGTACTTTGGGATACATATTTTGGGAGTCCAAGAGCTCATCTTAATTAGTTTAAAACAATAATAACAGTGGGTTATATTTTAAGAAATATGTGCATTAATTTCCTAATATCAAGATAGAAAGGAGAGGCAATGCTAGTCTGTATTAGTTTAACTTTTTATTTTGACAATATTTTTTTTTGTTACAACCACAGTATTTTCAGAACCAGCTCTGAACTGGTGGTAGGATAGTGTTACGGCAGCTCTCCTTTGTCCAGTGTCAGTTTCCAATAGTACTGGTCGGAAGAAAGGTACTGGTCAGGAGAAAGAGGTTTAACCCCATAGCCTCTGCTTTGTGTGGGTTGCTTATGGCTCCATCTTCTCCCAACTTTTGTTTGACCTCTATATGAAGTCCATGGGTAAGTCACCAACTGGCATGGGGCCAAGTCTCATCAAACTGCTGTTAATATTTAGTTGTACATCTCCAGTCCAGCTCACAAAATAATTCCACCTCAATGCTTCCCCAATACAGGCAGCTGGATGAGAACTAGGCTTTGGCTCAACCCAAACAAGATCAAATAGCAGTGAATTTTGGGGGCCTGGGATTTGGATCAGGGAATTTTCTATCTATGATTCCAGTAGATTCAGTAGAACTGGGGGGAAAGGCATTGACAATCCAAGGCAGGATAAAGGGAGTACTTAGCTACCATGAATGTATATATGTCAGTCCATTGGGCGAGATCAGTTACTTCTGAGATCTCGAGGAAGCTTACAAATCTTGGGATAACTGTCTGTGATTTCTGAGAAGTTATAGAAGATGGGCAAGGTGCCCGAGGATTGAAGAAAGCCAAATGCTGTCCATATTGTTTGAAAAGATGACTCATGTAAAAGCAGGTCACTCGGCTTAATGCTGATACTAGGCAAAATCTAGAACAAATTGTTAAGCAATCAGTGTGTGAAACTTTAGAGAGAAAAATGCATTGCTTAGCAGGAGCCCACAATAGAATGAGCCATAGTAACTATCCTGATTTCACTTTTTTGATAGACTGAGCAGTTTAATTGTTCAAGTGGACATAAAGTACCTCAACTTTAGCAAGACATTTGACAAAAGGTCCCTTGAGAACCCGGTAGAAAAGATGGCAAAATATATATTGGACTATTTACTGTTTGATGAATAAAGAGCTAGTTGCAGAATTGTTCCCAGTAAGCATACTTTAGTGACTCCATGTTAATCTGGAGGAAGATGTATTTCTGGAAGGATCTTTGTTGCTAAGTAGGGTAATGAACATAATCACGAAAGCCAGTCAAAGCAGTTGTCCAGATTTTATTACACATAGCATCATTAAGGCATTATTACTTTTGACTTTCTCAAATTTTTGAGATTGTTTTTTGGTAACAATCCAGCTCCCTCCTGTAAGAGCTTTGCTTCATCCTTCATCCCATGCTCTGTTAAATATTGCACCACAACTTTGTACTATTTAATATTTTTGTAAATGACTTGGATGAATAGTTAGAAAATATGATTGACACATTTGTAGATAACAAAAAGTTAGGAGGATTAACAAACCATTGCTATTTGGGAAACTCCTGACAAGTTGGAATAATGGGCAGTAACCAGCAACATGAACGTCTACAAATGCAAAGTCCTCCCTTTGAGTAGGCAGAATCAAAGGCATGAGTATAAGATGGGAGAGGCCCATACCTGACAGAGACATGTGCAAAAGATCTGGCAGATGTGTTGGATCATGATCTGCACAGTTAGCAGTGTGGTGCAGCATTAATTGAGGTATAGTGTTAAAAGTATAGTGTCAGAAAGCATTGTTCCTTTCTATTCTGCACTGGTTAGACTATACCTGAAATATTAGGTCCAATTCTAAGTGTCATATTTTAGGAATTTGATAAACAGGAGCATGTCCTAAAGAAAACAGTTAAGGGACTTGGAAGAAAACATTTACAAGGAATGATTAAAGGTGCTGTATATATATATATATACATACCCGCGAGAACCTCAGAAAACAAAT